GCAGCTAGCTGTCCCCCCCCCGACCCCCCCTTGGGGGCTTCGGCCCCTTCCCCAAAGCAAAGACCGGCCAAAGTGGGCAAAAATGGCCTCCCGTTCCCTCCATTTCCAGAAGATGGGGGGGGGGGCCCAGCCCCGGGGGGGGGGGGGGGGGGGCCCCCCCCGGTGGGGGGGGGGGTCCAAATGTCTGCGCATCTTCAAACCGTGTCCCTTTTCCTGAATCTGAACGAAGTTACTCCCCAGGTTTCCCGTGGCTTCTTTGTCTTTGGCGTCGAGGCTTGGAGGCTCTGACCGCTCCGGCTGGGGGGGGGGGGAACCCCCTAACATTGGGCCCCCCCGCCCACGGGGGGGGGGGGCACAGAAAGGAGAACAGCAGCAGCATCCCACCAGAAGGAGACCGGGTTTCCTGCTTCTGCCACCCCCGGCTCAGAGGGGAAAAGAGGGAAAGCATAACGTCTAGCTCCGGAACGTTCCGGAACGTTCCGGAACACTCCGGAACGCCTCGTGTGTCCAGAGGGTCCGGAACGGAGACCAGTGGCGGCTACTCTTCACATACACTCTTCCTCTGGAGGGGGGAACGCTTTGGAATGCTCTTTTTTTTTTTGGGCTGAGCGGGCCGTGGGGGACCCGGGAAGGAACGGGTCGGCCATTTTCTTTTTCTTTTTCCCCTCCCCCTCCTCGGCCTCGAGTCCAGTAGTCATCGGTCAGTCTGGACCTGGCCAGGCGTAATAACACAGGTCCGCTTGGCTTTTAAGCTGCAGGCACTTCAGAAACCTAACCGCCCGTTACCGTTAAAACGTGCTGACGGGGGCTAAAAAAACCCGGCCGCCCCCCCCCCACCCAGCTCCTAATGAGACAGTAGCACCATACCAAGCCACCGGTCAGCCCCCTCTCAAAGCTCTAAATCAATATCTGTCTGTACAACGAAAAAAAAGGTGCAGAGTCTCTTTTTTTTTCCGGCTCCGAGGCCGTTTTTAAAGGTGCTTAGTTGCTCTTACCACAGTGCAATTCGAAAGGGTCGCTGACTTTTTCTTATTTTTTTTTTTCTGTCCAACATTATTTTAGAGAGCGTGGACAGGTTGGTCTACAGCTTCAGCGCTGACCAACAGAAGACAGGCCGGGCTCTCTCAGAGCCCGCCGCGCGGTTCCGTGGCCTCGAAAACATCCGAACGAAAGCAAACGGATACGAAAAGAAATCGACTTTTTTTTTTTTTTTTTTTTTGCGTTTTAGCCGTCTATCTACAACTGCTTTTTTCTCGAGTCAGGAGTTAAGGAAGTTGAGCTACATACTGAGGTCAGGGGGCGGAGGAGAGGGCTGTGGGGGGGCGGGGGGGGTGCCTTGAGGACATTTCCCTTTAGTGGGGCAGTTCCAGGGTTATTTGGGGTCACAGTACTACCGATTTTTCAAGGTTTTTCCTGCTTCTAAACACCTGATTCGGATCAAACCGAGCTTTTCTAACCCTATAATGCCAAATGGATCATATTTGATACATACGGTTTCTGAAATCTTATGGATCTGAGACTTTTTGCTCAAACCCCTGTTGTACACATTCAGATATACCTGATAACAGCCAGTAGAAGACGACACGAAAACATATTTTTGACTTATTGCACGCTAATTTGATCAAATCATTTCTGTTTTTTTTTTTT